TGCTGTTAGGGACCTCTCCAGGGTATTGAAGAGCAATGGTGTCTCTCTGGAGACTAAGGTGCGTCTGATACAGGCCATGGTCTTTGCAATCACTTGTTACGCATCAGAGAGCTGGACAATGACTGAGGAGGATAGAAAGATAATTGATGCCTTTGAGCTGTGATGCTGGAGAACAGTATTGAGGGTATCATGGACTGCTAGGGTCAAACCGGGCGGCTCCTTGGAGGCAAGGATTCTGAGGCTCCGTCTAACATACTTTGGATATGTTGTAAGGAGGGACCAGTCCTTGGAGAGGGACATCATGCTTGGTAGGGTGGAGGGACAGCACAGGAGGGGAAGGCCCTCTATGAAGTGGATTGATTCAGTGACTGGGGCAATTGGGATGGGTGTATCGGAGATGGTGCGATTGGCACAGGACAGAGCTGAGTTTAGGGCTGTTGTACATAGGGTCGCTTTGAGTCGCAAGCGACTCAACAGCACATAACAATAACAACATGCTTGAATTTGGGCAGACCCTATAGACCCAATAGAATATGGCAAAAATGACACTGTGCTCATTCTGGGCTAAGACTTTAATTGGCTTAGCCGCTTCTTCTTGCTCCTAAGAACGAATTTCCTTGGGATGTTCCCTCTAGGGACCATGTGCAGGGACCAGTGCATATGCGTTTAGGTGAGCATGTGAAATAGCCAACAGCCTGGTTGAGTTCCCAGCTGAAAGCCATCCATCAGGATGTGCAACCAGAATCAACTGCCAACCACCAGGATGTCCAACTGGTAAAACCTTCAGATAGCTGAAATACTAACTGACATCTGAGTGAAACTGCACCACAGAGCCCCAAACCCAAATCACTAGTGAGCTCAGTCAGCTTATAAAACTGTGAGAGAGAACAGCAAATTGTTTAAAACCCACCAATTTAGAAGTGTTTGTTATATAGCAGTACACTACCCTCAGCAACCCCTCCATTGGGTTTCCAGTGCTGGAAATTGTAATAGGAGGAGTCTGCCCATCTTTCTCCCATGGAGTGCTGAAATGTAACCACTGGTGATACATGGCTTTTGAGTTAACAACATAATTCACTACAGTTCTTTCCTAAGTCCTGAAGAGCAATGATGTCAGTTTGAAGACCAAAGTGTATCTGCTTCAAGCCCCCACTGTATGTCTGAAAGATGGGCAATGAAAAAAGATGACAGAAAAATTGATGCCTTTGAGTTGTGGTCTTGGAAAAGAGTACTGAATATCCCATGAACAGTCAAGAGAACAGATATGACATGGAGAAAGTACAACCAGACTGTTCCCTGAAAGATGATAAAGCTTTGTCACACATATTTTGGACATGTTGTTAGGAGAGGCTAATTCCTTCACAGTTAGTGAAGGAGAGGAACATCTTCAACAAGATGGATTGATACAGGGTGTGTGGCAGTGGGCTCAAATGTGTCATGGATGATAAAGATGATACTGGATAGGATAGAGTTCATATCTGTTGTTCTTGGGTCATTATGAGTCATACTTGACTCAACAACACTTAACAAGAAGGAGCCACCAGAGCATCCTTACATAGCAGTAGTGGGATGAATAGTTTGAGATCAATAAAGATAACAACCGCAATGGATTAGAACATATAAAGCATGCTTGACTTATAAATTCATAAGACTAAAACCACTGGTATCAAGTTGATGCCAACTCAGAGAACCTAAAGAACAGAATATAATTGCCCCATAGGGTATCCAAGGCTGTAAATCTTTACAAAAGCAGAATGTCACATCTTTTCCCCATGAAATGGTTGATGGGTTCAAACTAGTGACTTTCTGATTAGCAGTTGAGTATCACCAGGGATCCCCTGCTCCTCAGGACTCTAAATATTTAATCAGTTTCCTTTGAAGTATGGCATATAATTGCTCTGTCCCCCACTCCTTTAATTGAAAATTGGTAAAGGAAAGACAGGTATATGTCTTGCCGTTAGTAAACTAATTATGTTTCTGGATAATCGAATGGGAAGGGAAGAGAAGAACTATTCAAGCTAGTGAATGAAAAAGTGATGACACTATTATAGATAGGAGCATTTTCTATCTCCAGTGAATTTATAGAAACTCTTGGCTGGATCCAAAATCAACACTCTTGGCACCAGCAATGAGGAAATGAAAAGATGAGTTGCACTAGGAGAATCTGCTGTCAAGAAACTCTCTTGAGTGGTAAGGAGCAACAGTGTCAGTCCAAAGACTAAGAGATGCCTGATCCAGGCTATGGTCTTCTCAAATGCTTGCTATACATCTGAAAGCTGAACAATGGCTAAGGATTACAGAAGACAAAGTGATGCCTTTCAGTTGTGGTGCTGAAGTACTTAATATCCGATGGACTGCCAAGAGAACAAATAGATCTGTACGGGAGAAAGTG